AGTGTGGTACTAAAGGCTATTATTCTTTCCATGAGCAGCCATGTTTCAGTATCAAAAGAACATTCAACAGTGATGTCAAAAAGATAGACAACAACAATAATGAGTATGAAGGGATATGTCAGTCAGATGGTTATTATTGTGTGAACGATGGCGAACATAATGACCAATTCTATATGTGTTCCGATTCTTTCAAAGGCTTCCTGAAATGCCCAAGAGGAACGAAGTGTGGAAATGTATTAAATAATCCATGTCACACCAATCCATGTGTCAATATACAAGAAGAGTAGACTTTAACTTAGTGCGAATGTATTTCTTTATTGTTACCTTTGATATATATTATAGTATTATACATTATACTATAATAATATAACAATATAACAATATAACAATATAATACTATAATACTATAATACTATAATACTATAATACTATAATACTATAATACTATAATACTATAATACTATAATACTATAATACTATAATACTATAATAATAACAATAGTAATATAATAATAATATAATAATACCATTATAAGTCAGACAAGAAGTGGGTGAATTGAATTGTAACATTGTCATATTGCTTCAGAGAAGCACAACAACACACAAATTGAGTATTGATGTGAAACAAGTTACAAAACAATTGAACTCCTCCACATTCGACGCAAAATTGAGTTTCTTTTGTATTTAATTGTAGCTCATGTCGACTCTCTTGAATTCTTATTAATGGTACCTCAGTTATTACTATTTTATTCATTTCCTCTGTTATTCCATCTCCAGTTGTTTTTAACACTGCTTCTTTTATACACCAATGAATTCCAAAAAATTCAATCCGCCGGTCAATCTCATTATTGTGAGATGTCAGAAATTCCAATTCTTTTGCTGTCAAAAAGTCACTCATCAACTCAACCATTTGAATAAACTTGTCTTCGTTTCGGGAAAATCTGTTCAGATTAACAACATCAACACCAACAGGACATTCACTTTCAAAAAAGACAACAACTCTGTCGTGACTCCAATTACATTGAATTTTACTTGAAATCAACTCGACTTTCCCGTACTTCCCTACTCTTTCGTTTTCTTGTGTGATCCCAAAACGTGTGTAAAACTCGTTTCTCATTGCTCTTGAAACTACAAATTCAACGGCAACTGGAATTTCATGGGTTTTTCGTTTTTGCCCAAATTCGTCAAAACCCTGAAATTTGGTGATTTGTAAAAATTCGTCATTGCGAACAAAACGAAGGAGTTTGTTGAACTGAGAAAGGCTAACTGGTTTCGGAAGTTCAATTGATAACTTTCCTGCTCTCTCCATCGAACAATCAAAAAAATACAAACCAGTTTCCAATGATGAATTCTAATAATAATACTCATTAAAACTATATAGTATAGTTGTTTTATAGTTTATGATGTATTATATAAAAATACACGCTTTGAATTAGTTAAATGTATTATAAAAAACTATATTTTGAAGGGTATAAAAAAGAAAAGAGAGAACTGTAAGTTATTCAAGATGGTGACTTTCCAGCAACTCATAGAAAACCTAAAGGTTTGGTTCGAAGATTTCGAGTTGACTGAGTATCACATCTACGCTCTTTGTGTCGCTGCAGTTCTGATTATAGCTTTAATGATATACATTGTAATTCGCAGAATGTTTGTTTTAGTTACTTTTAATTATAAAGAAATGAGAAATTATAATTAACTGTAATTTTGACGGAAAGAAAACACCAAAACGAAGTCCTCAAATGGGAACAACAAACACACGGACCAACAACTACAATGTCGAACCTGTCATCAGTCTCGTCCGCGTCAACTATCCGGAGACTCTCCACACAAAAAGAGAAGACACTTTCTATTGTGAGTTGCCCATCAGACGGGAAGATCATTCCACCATCACAACTCCCGTCAGTCAAGTCCCGACTTTTTGAAGAGGAAAGAACTTACTCGGGCTCCCTGGCCTCTCATCAGAACTCGTTCCTCCAGTCAAAATCTAAATTGAACTGATTGTTTTTTACTATTTCTTATTATTTGTTTTTACTCTTTGTTCTATTTTTATATTAGTATTTGATTATACTTAAATATATACTATATATTTAATAAAAAAATGATATAGTAATAAAACGATAAAAAAAAGCATATAGTTTCGTTTTTGACAAACACAACCAACGGATTTTACCGTTTTGATGACGAACTGAACAAATCTCGTCTCGTTTTGATGAACAGTTGATGTGTCAGTGAGAAGTTGACAAATATAAAGATTTTTGGTGGAACGAGAACCTAAAAATGCAAAAAGTTCAGCCTTCACAAATCCGCAGTGCAAAGAGCAACCTTTCGCATGTTGAGTTTGTCAACGACAGGAGCTCTCCAGCTATTCCGGACAAAAAAGACTTTGTTTTTAAAAGAAAAGAAAGCGATCCCTTTGCTTTTCTTCCATTTCAGCATTACTTTCTCAAACATGTGACCACTAACGACAAAAGCGCTCCAATCATTCCAAAGAACATCAACAATCTTTTCAACCCAAAGTATCAAATGGTGATGTCAGAAATACTTTCCAAGACCCAAAACCGGGTGGACTGATTTATGTTATTTAAAATGTTTTTATATTTTTTTTAACAAATTTAAAATGTTATACAAAACATTTTATGTTTTATATAACAAAATTGTATAACAAAAAAATAATTTTAAGGAAAGTACTAGAAAGATCAAAGATGCCAACGAATACTTCAATCCTTCTGTTGAGTTTATTTGGCATAATTGTCGGAGTTTTTTTCCCCGTAAATTTCTACTTGTCACTTTCAAACACTGAAGTCACTTTAGAAGAGAAATTGGGGAAATTATACATCTCGTTTGGTTGTGTCGTTGGATTATTACTCTTTGTCGCGATGTTTCTTTCTTCCTTCTGTTTTTCTCGGAGCCCCAAAATCTGTGGGATCATTGGTTCCGTCTTAGTCTTAATATTTGGTCTTATTGGTGCCGTCTTTGGGTATACCTTATATTCAATGAATGAGTTTGAAGATGGCTCCGAAGCGCTCCACAAAGTTGAAATGAAGTCGAATTGCTGTGGGTGGAAAGCGTTTAACCCCTCAGCATGTGCAGCTCCAAACATCACACAGACAACTACAACGTGTTACAACACAATAGGAAAAGCGTTTGATACTGCATTCCAAGAGATCTTCTTCTTCTACGTCTTCTTTACACTCTTTGTTTTCTTCTTATGTGTTGTCATCTGTAAAGCAAACGTCGACACAACAGAACCTAAAGAGAAAACAAGTTAATTATTTTAATTGAAGCACTTCTTCATTTCTCGTCACGTATCACACTCTTCCTCCATTGCACGGCACAGAGCGCCGTGCAATCAGATTCGATTTGATCTTCCAATTTGAGTTTTTTGATGAATGTGAAGTCCTCGCCAACACGTTCAAAGCCGTTTTTGTTGACCAAGAAATGGACCAAGAAGTTGTCTTCGAAATTAATACGGAGCATGCAATACCTTGCTCCGTAGACTTCTATAGCCGCGTTAATAGCCATCCGAAGTAATAACGATCCAATTCCACAATTCCGAGAAGACAATTGGACGTTCAAAGAAGTCACTGAGATGACGTTTTTCAGACTTATACCGTCCTCACATTTCAGAATAATATGGCCAACAATACTCTTCTTGTCATCCTCAGCAACATACATGATATACGGCCACGACAAATAATGGAAGTAATAGTATTGGAGGGGATACCCTTCAAACGACGTAAGCGTGTAATTCTGAAGAGAGAGTAAATCAACAGAAGTCACTGGACGTACGTTGATCATTTTAAGTTCCTTTTTGCATTTTGAGTTCTTTCAATCTTTTTCTGCACATTTCTTCAACTTTTTCAAAAAAGTTTCTTAGTAAAATCATATAATAATAATAAACTATTAAAATAGAAAATGTCATTAATTTGAATGCTCACAAGAACTTCCTTAAAACGTTGAGTCTGCGCTGTTTATCGTCGATCTCTGCTGGAGAGTAGTTGCTTCTGAGAGCACTCAAATGGAATTGGATCTCTTGAATTTCATTATCAATGAAGTCCATTGATTTAGTGCTTTGGATCTTTCTCATAATATCGACATAAGTGTTACCGACGATGAACTCTCTGCACTTCTGAATTCTTTTTTCTTGTTCTTCTGGTGTTTGATGAATAAAGTCGACTGCTTCTTTGTCGAACTCGTAGAACGTGCCGAACGTGTCTGGCTTGTTTCCGTATTGGTCTCGATCCTTCATGAAAAATTTGTTGATGATTTCACTGAGTTCTTGTTGGTCTTTCGGTCTGCGAACGGGGAATGCGAGTTTATCTGTGAACGAATACTTCTTTAACTCGGGAAGTTCTTTTGCGTTCTGCGAGTCACACAAATCTTTGTAAAAAGTGCACTCCACAGCAGCAATGACCAAGTCCTTTTCGTTGCCATACCCTGTTGCGATGTTCTCGAACAGCTCCAGTTGCTCTCTGCCATAGTAACATGTGTATGTATAGAATAACACTATAGCTTGTTTGTTGACATCATTGATGTATTTATCAAAGGTTTTGTTTGTCAATCTCTTGATATATGATTGTGTGGAATTGACCAATTGAAAGACTTGATAGATGAAACGACTCAATTTGTTCACGTCGTGGTCCCATGGATAAAGCTGAACACCATTCTCATTTTGAGTGTATGCTACATAAAGAGGCCATTTCTTACTCAGATTGTGTTCGTCACAAAAGTCGGCATATTTCGAACAGTCGAACTCACCAAAAGCAAGGTCGTCGTACTCCTCAAATGAATCTGCCAAGCCCTCAAAAGAAGATTGTGTACTTCTGCACTCGGCATCTAACATTGGGCAGAACCGAATTAAAATATCTGCACCCGTTGTGACCTTATCAAAAGTCTTTGGAGTGATTCTATACACTTCACTGGAGTAGACGGAGTAGATTAAAAGTGTAAGTAGTAACATACAACTTTTGGTATAGCCAGTTCACTTTTTATTGAGTTAAAAATTGGGTTGTAAAAACAATAATGCCAAATTGTATAAAATAAGTTTAATACATTCATAACATTTCTATTTAATTATATTAGTATTAATAATTAATAAAGATAATCAATACCAATATTGGTTTCTTGGTAAAAATTTTCATCTTGATAACTCGAAGTAATCTTGTCATAACATCTTCTGCGTCAAAAACAGAACCACCTAAAAATTATAACAAAAAATTATAATAAATGATATAATTATTATATTTCCTAAACCAAAAAAAGTTTATTATAATCAATAATTTATATTTTTATACATATTATAGTATAATAACAATTAAAAATATATCATATAATTATTATGAGTTATAGTAATTATTATTTACTATTTTATAATTTTATTATTACAAAGTTGTTAATGTTTTATTTATAATTATACATACTATTGATTTTTAGTTTATTGGTTTATTATTATATCTATATTATATAATAAGAAATATTAATATTTATATTATAAATAACAACTGTTATATATTAAAATATAATTATATTATAATACATAGGAAAATAATGAGTATTTTATTTATAATACATTTTATTATATGAAAATACTATTTGATTTATTTCCAAGTCCAAACGATTTAAAAACGCCGAAATTATATCCCGAAAGTTTGGTTGAATTTATTCAACAAATTATCGACCGTTAATGAACTAAATAAAAAAACAAGGTCGTCAAAAATTTATATTTCAAGAGGTAACTATACTATATTAATACTATTAACTATATTAGTTAGTAACACTTTCTAAGTAAAACTCCATAGAGTTTTAACTTAGAAATGGATTCAAACTCTTCAAAAACTTGAAAAGCGGTTCAAAAATTCAAAAGAAAAACTTGAAAATCAAACCAGTTTGTTATACACCAATGTCTCAAGTATAATATTAACAAGAAGTGTCACTCTGCCCAGTTTGCAACAAGAAGGCGTACCCAATGGAAGCGATTTCTATTGAAGGTGTCACCATGCACAAAACCTGTTTCAAATGCAGTGTATGTAAAAAGGTGTTAAGTGGTTCCAATTTTGCCAAGAACCATGGCGTCTTCTACTGCAAAGTTCATTTTGCTCAGATGTTTAAAGAGAAAGGAAATTATGATGAAGGATTTGGGTGCAAGAAGGCATCAGCAAATTGGGAAGAACACCACGGTGAAGAACCAAAGAAGGTGGAGAAAAAGGAAGAGCTAAAAGTTGAACCAAAGAAGGAAGAACCAAAGGTCGAAAAGAAAGAAGAGCAAAAGGTTGAACCAAAAGTCGAAGTCAAGGAGAAGATAGTTGAAAAAGTCGTCGAGAAAGTCGTAGAGAAAATTGTTGAGAAGGAAGTCCCCGCACAACTCTCAAAAGAGACATTCGACCAAGTCAATGCCATTTTGAAACAAGTCGAAAAGATTGAGGGTCAAGTCGGTACATTAGAAAAAACAGGGATAACCGCCCCACAAACTTCTGGCTCATTAAACAACGAGTTCAATGGTGTTTTTGACAGACTCAATGCTGCACTTGATAAGCTTGAGAAGAAGTGATTTAATTCAACCTTTTTTCAGTCTTTTTTGGATTGTCTATAATTAATAATATTATACTATAAAGTTATAGTTTTATTTTGACAGTACATTTTATTAGTATTAAATTAATAAAGAACTATATTATTATTAGAGTTAAGAACAGTAATAATGGAAGCAATGAATTACAAATCCATACGAATCTAAGAGACGAATGAATTTAATAGCCACCTCTCAACCTTAAAACAAGGTGAAGTGTGGACTCCTTTTGGATGTTATAGTCAGACAAGGTCTTTCCTTCTTCAAGCTGCTTTCCCGCAAAAATAAGTCTTTGTTGATCTGGGGGAATACCTTCCTTCTCTTGAATTTTTGCTTTAATGGCATCAATGGAATCATTTGGCTCGACTTCCAATGTGATGGTCTTTCCAGTAAGGGTCTTCACAAAAATTTGCATTGTCTGACTTTCTATTCAGAGTTTTCTTTATATAGTCTTTTTCTTTTTTTCAAACCTCATCACTTGTACTTCATGACTTATATAGTATATATTAATAGTTTTTTATTAGACATGTTTATTTTTGTTTTGAACAATCTTCAATGACGAGGCAATACTTGTATTATTTAATTTATTAAATATTTATATTATTAAATGATATAATATAAATATTATAATTATATTATAATAATATATATATTATTATTATTATTATTATTATTATTATTATTATTATTATTATTATTATTATTATTATTATTATTATTATTATTATTATTATTATTATTATTATTATTATTATTATTATTATTATTATTATTATTATTATTATTATTATTATTATTATTATTATTATTATTATTATTATATTTAATTAATGGAAATAATTAATAATAATAATATTTCCATTATTACCAACGAATACAAAAGAAACAAAGACATATCTTAGAAATCAGACCCCTCTCCACCTATTCGTAAAGACGATGCGCTTGAAGAAACATTTGTATCCTCTGAACTTGCACTCTTTTTCAAGTCGATTGAACCTTTCGACTCAATTGATTTTCTCCCCTCTTGTGGTTCTTCATTGGGCTTCTCTGCGACTTCCTTCATTTCCTTGACTTCTTTACTCTTTTCTTTACTCTCTTCTATTGATTTGTTCGACTTCTTTGACGATTTTGATGTCTTTGAACTTTTAGACTTCTCTGATTTGTCGGAAAGGGAAGTGTCTTCCTTCAAATTTTTAGTATCGACGCTTTGTGTAGTTTGCTCTGACTGTGGGAGGAGCGATTTTCTCTTTGAATTTTCATTCGAACCTTCTTTGTTAGTCATCATAAACAATTTATATATTTTGTTGAGCATAATAGACACTTCATCGAATGGTGGACGGTCTCTTGGTGTTTGCATCCAACACTTTGTAATTGTTTCTTTAAATAAACAGTCGTCTGGGATATCGAGTCTTTTTCCATTCCCCACGAACTTCAAAATGGACTCTCCGTCCGGGAATTTGTCTTGTGGATAGCAGTCCTTTCCTTTCCAGATTTCCAACATACAAATCGAGAATGAATACACATCACTCTTCAGTGTCATTTGTTCAGTGACTTCATCTTTGTGGAGTGTCATTTCTATGAGTCAGTCTTTTGTAATCAAGTAATACAAAGATAAAACAAACCGGGCGCCATGTACATTGGTGTTCCAATATGTTGAATACCAAGTTTCTGTGAACTTTCAATGAATGATCGTGATGTCCCAAAATCAGTGACTTTAGCTGTGACTGGGTCGTACGGATTCTTAGAGACTACCAAGACGTTGTCTGTCTTCAAATCTCTATGGACTATATCATTCTGATGCAAATATTCCATCCCTCTTGCAATGTCTTGACAGAACCGAATCTTCAAATGTGTAGTCATGTCGGTTGGGGAATTCCTCATGAACTTTCTTAAAGATCCCAATGGACAATACTCAGTCACTAAACATAATATCTCTGTTGTAGTAACACTTCCAATGTAATTGACAACGTATTGACATCGAATACGCTCCATCATAGACGCCTCTTGCATAAAGTTAGGAAGAAGATCACTAATATTGACTAAATCAGTCTTCATCTGTTTGACAGCGACATCGACACCACGCCACTCTGCTCTGAAAACAGTTCCAAATGTGCCGGCTCCAATTGGTGGTCGAATCAAATTGATTTCGTCCAAATCAAGTCGAGTGGACAAGGCAGATTCAACTTTTAAGTCTAAGTACACATAAAATTTGTTTGGAGTCTTTGGTTGCACCTTCTTCTTATCTTGTGATTTGGATTTGGACTTTGATTTGTCAGTCTCTTTAACAAATGACTTGTTCCGTGTATTTCTCGAGTTTGCTAGTGACGAACTCTTCGACTTGGAGTCGTGCGACATCTCTGAATTTTGTGAAGAGTGCGACTGAAGCTCTAACAAGTTTGGATTCTCCTCGACTAGTTCTTGCATGATTTGTTTGAATTTACCAAAGCGAACGGTGACGGGAATCTTCTCTTTTAAAACACAAGTGCAACTCACCGTCAATTTGCACTTCACTTCAGCAGATTGTCCCGGTCTGATGCTTTGCATAGCTGGGTCAAATGAGACAATGTACTTTGAATATTCTCCGCCGTGCATAATAACTCTCATTATCTCATTTGAGTTGTTATAGATCTTCACAGTCGCTTGTGTTTCCGTTTCCACTTCGACGTGGTTCTTACAGTCTTCAAACAAGATTTCGGTGTTATCAAATTGGAACAATTTATTTGGTTGCTTGATATCAATGTACTGCGCATTCTCTTTGTTAAATTTGATGATGGTCGAGTCTAACATGAATCGTTCATCTTTTTGTTGTTCATAAAGAATCAAGTCGGTCAAGTAGTTGTATCGAGCAAAGAACCCAATCATCAAGAAGATGTATAAAATGATCCAAAGCCCAACACCACAAACAGCTATCGAGACATCAATGACATACTTCGGCTTGCGCTGACATGAAAGTTCTTTCCAAGTGAACCAATCTTCCTACAGTGTTATTCGTGTGTTTGGTGATACAAAGAGACAAACTTGACATTCACACTCATAACACCCATCACCTCCATCACACTATATTGTAAGTCACTCATTGGTGGTATTTAATTGAACAAACTTCTTCATCGTCATCTAACTCTTTGTTCCCACATAATGTGCTCAGACAGCCAAGTCTTGGCTTCTCATACGGTACATATCCTTCAGTACACATACAGTGCTGACATCCAAGTCCACCATCACACTCTTCATTTGAATCTATTTTATTGTTGTTACATGTTGGTGGAGCGCAATATGTCTTCCCAAGAATGTCCATTGGGTAGTATCCTTCTCTACATGAGCAAGTGGTATAATCACAATTTAAGTCGACGTAAGGGTCGTCAGTCTTTTCACACTCTTCTCCGTCGTTGTACACTCCATTGCCACATTGCGAACACGTGTCTGTCAACAAGACGTATCCTGCATCACATATACAAGTTTGAGTAACTCTGTCACACACCCCATTTCCTCCACAATCATATGGACATAATGTTGTGATACTCAAATTAAATGCAGCGTTGTTCTCAGATACAACAGCAGCATAAATAAAGTAATCGTAGTCCTTCGATAATTTGACCATCATGGAAGAGTGGTGACTTCCTGGTTCAGGGCATCCAGATGTGTCATACCTCTCACATGTCACACCCAACAGATTCTCACCACTGGGATACCCACAGTCATCTGTCTCACTAATTGATGTTTGATGAAGTCTTTTAACCAAGTGAATTGCTGTGTAGTAATCTGTCTCCGAGTTGCATGTTGATATCAAGACATTTCTATCTGCACCTTCCAAGTAATACCACGACCCAAGTTGTTGAGTTAGAATACAAGCGGACCCAGATCTCACAGAATATGCCGTGTTGACTACCGCGGTGAATCCATTTGTTGCGATTTCAGGCCAATTGACTGTATTATAGAAGTATGAACAGGGGTGTACTATTGGAGTGAATAGAATTTTAGTCACTTCATCAGCAAGGAATAAGCTTCCAAATGGTTTGTGGACGAAGATATAATAATCAACGTTTTTTTGGAAGAGCATGGCAATTCGCGAGTATTTTATGTATGGAGATACATTGTCGTTTTGTCCGTAACATTTCTGGACTGAGGTAGAACCTATTTCTGTAGTGTCTGGGCAATCCGATATAACAAAAACTGTGTCATCTCCAACAGCATTTTCTTGTGTATCTAAGAAATCGATTGAAACTGCGTCGTAATGTTCTTCCGCCTCGACAGCAATGTACTTATCAACAGAAGTACTCAACTTAATCCAAAACCCTGGAGCATAGGGTTGTTGTAAGAAGAGTCTTTTGGAGCACGTGTTCATACTCATCTGTGCATTACTACCACTAAGTGTTAATATTTGTTGCTCAGTGTTTTCGGCGAAAGTGACTTCATTGTGATAGTTCACGTCGGCTTGAAGAGTCTTACATGATTTTACTGTTGTTTTGTTGAAGGATTCACATTTGAGATATCCTTGTGCCAAATACCCGTCTAAACAGCCTTGACAATCACTTCGATACCCTTTAGTTATATCACATAAACCACACTCGTCTGGGGTATAACAAGTCTCATTGTTTTGTTCAATACATCCCGAAATGGCACAAGACGGAACACAGTTGGTAGACGTGTCTTTGTTGAGAGGAGTATACCCATCTGCACACAAACAATTCGATAGACAAAACTTCCCACTATCGCACTCCTCTTCAAAGGCGTCACGAACTCCATCCCCACAAAACGCAGTTACAAAATGCACAAAAATTATTTGAAAAAAGAAGAAACGAAATAAAAGACTCATCATCTTACTTTTTTTTAGTTTCAATTTTTATTTCGGTCATTTGACTTTTGTTCGTATGTTCGACGAGTGTTTCATGGTTTATTATACATTGTAATTATATTACTATTGTGTATTATTCAAATGGTTTGAAGTATCAATGGTGCGGAAATATCTTGGTTAATATAGATCTGATTTAAAGATTTTTGGAACTCAATACAAGTTACTCATCGAAACGATTTGCTTTGACGAATCGTTTTTAAAATTTTTATTTGTGTAGATGAAAAAATGTTTAAAAAATGGTTTAACAACCCGAGTATTACACAAATTTGAACAAGAAATAATCAATGATGTTAATGATTAAATAAAAGATTTTTAAAGAAAGAAAAAATCCAATTTTCACGATTTTATTACAATTAAAAATCATAGTTTCATAATAAAAATATTATAATATGGTAACTTTTTATTTTTAATATTGGTTTTTTGAATTATTGTTTTATAAACAAAAAACGAAAAAATCAATCTTATAACATTACACTATTATTAAACTATAATAACTCAAATAGATGAAAACTAATTATTTTTAAAAAACAACAAAAGTTCATGTGGGGTTGTGTTACTAAAAACATATTTTGTCGTTCTAGTAATTAGATAGTTTTTAATTTATTAATTATCATTACTAAATTAAAACAACGAAAAAGGAAAATATTACAAACTTAAAAAAAATCGACTCGAGTGTTTAATAAATTGTTAATTATTCTTATTAAATTTAAAGTTATTATATATATATAAAGTGATTATTAATTTACTATATATCTATTATTTGAAGTTATACTAAAATTTATAATTTATTTAATTTTTAATTATAATTGATTATTCAATACAATAACCATTAAATGTTTTAACAATAGTAAATTTAGATACAAAAAACAATAATAAAACTATAAAAAAATAATTAAAAAAATTCTTATATATTATTTTAATTAACTATACTATAATAAAACTAAGAGATTTTAAAGATTGAACTATAAAAAAACTATATTAAGAGATGGAAAAAGTTAAGTCAAAGAAGCTGAGTTTTAAAAAGTCTGACAAAGACAAAGAAAAAAAGCCACGGAAACCACAGAGTGACGAGAGTGAGACAAAACTCACAAAAGCGGAAATTCAACAAAAAATAGCACAAAACGAGCGATCCCTTGAAGCCGTCAAAAAACAAGACTCCTACCAACAGCGACGCAAAGATTTTAATGACAAACTTTCAAAACAGACAGACATCAACGATTTGTTCAGGACGAATTGCTCGTGGATCGAAAAGGCGGAACACATATAAAAAAGAATTTAACATACTTAGTTTTATTGTATTACTTTGGCACGCGTCAAATCACGATTTGTTGTACTGGCTTGTTGTTACTACCTTTTGACAAGTATTTACAATCAAAGAAAGAACAAACGACTCTCACGGAGAGTGACGGAATGAAATCGGAAGGTTTGTTAGGGAGGATCCCCATGTTACTGAATTTATAAATAGCCAAAAGGAGTGTAGTCGATGAACATAAGATATACAATCCTTTGAAAATCAGTAACATCCCACGCTCTAGCACATCAAATTTGGCAAAGACTTCGTTGACCTTAGAAAGTGACGCAAAAAAGTTGGAGACCAACATAAAAGTAAACATGATGCTAATGTAACTCACAGAAGACCCCATAATCCACGCCATAAGCAACATCATCACATTTTGCGTCAATGGACTCAACGACGCAGAAAACGCTTGTTTCACTTTTGCTTGGATCTGCTGTTGTTTATTCATCACCACTCTTTTTCTAGTTCAACTAACCCTAAATAACTAACTTAAAACAGATTTCGCTGATTCAAAGTTCATTTTCATATCAGTTAAGTTGCACTTGATGTCATACTTTGCTTCTTAACACTTTGGTATTCTTTGTGTGTTCAACTTAATGAAAGTGTAAACTTGACTGCTTTGTTCTTCTTCCTCATTTCTTGTTATCAATAATAAGAACTTTGAATAACATTTGATTTAAAAGAAAATGTTATATTTCTACATATAAAAGTAGAGCTAATTTAATCATTAATTAATCATTTAATTAACTAAATATAAATAGATTGATTTTAGTTACTAGACTTTTTTTTTATTAATCAATTAGTTCAAACTTGATATTTAGAGAACTCTATGATTTGACAGTTTTCACATCAAAGTAATGATGTAAGCGGTTATGTTTTTTTTGCTGTTACTAATTGATTTTGTTGTTATTTTTCGAATTATTATCGAATAATTACATTGATTGTTACTTAGTTACGGGATGAATAAATATATTCACAAATTTAACACTTTTGCCGTTTCAATCCCACTCTCTTATGAGTTTTTTTAACAAATAAAAACTTAACCTATTTATTCCTTTTTATAATCCCCGATTTAATGAATCAATACAATGTGTTTTTATACCACTTTTTCCTCTTGTTTTCTCTTTGTAATTTATTGAATAAAATAAACCCTACTATTTTTTTTCTGTTTTTCTTCCCCATTTTATTTTACAAAATCCCGAAAAATTAAATTATAATAATATAATATAAGAATCGGAAACCAATAGCGCGGCAATTTGAGTCTCATGATTCAAATTAATCATCGATGAAATATATTTTAATTCCCGAATTTTTTACATAAAATAACACCAATATATCTTTAATCATCACTTTGGGTCACAACAAGTGTTTTTCAAACTATAAAAAAACTAATAATAAGCAATTAATATACTATATTAATTGATAAAAATAGATCATTAAGTTCTGTTCTTTTTCCCCTTTTGGCCTGTTTACTTTGTCCAATTTCTTTTTACTCCAGCAGCCATATAATATCTATTTTTTCGGGAAATAGGCCTGATATATAATTATAAAAAACTACTACTTTGCTCTGATCTAAAGAGACAACGCTGTCATTTTTAAAGTCGTCACTTCTAAGTTATTATATAAACCCATATGAACTAGAAAACATAGAGTGCACATGTCAACACCAATCAAAGTTGTCTCAGAAAACATCGAAAAACTTCACGGTACTGTCTACGTTCAACAAGGTGAAAAGAGTCAAGACTACATCGACGCAATGGAGAAAGGTGACGGAAAGTCAATCATCTGGGCTATTTTGAAGCAGTTAAGACCAGGCACTTCACTTGAAAGAATTACTA